CTGTAAAACATTAGAAACACTAAAAATTACAGTGTTCTCTTTATAAATAATTTATCAAGAGTAGTTTGAACAGTGCTTGTGTTCTTGTCATATAACTTTTGAGGAGTAAGCATTTTTTCTATGCCTTGGCAAATTGCCATACTCCTTTCTATATTAGCTTCCAAAACTTTATCTTTCACAGTTTCAATGGCATCAAATACATCAAGTAAAAAACGTGAAGTTTTTTTTTTTACTGGCATTCACTTTCTCTGAGACATGTTCATCCTTTATATCAGAACCATTCCTCATTTGTCTATAGATTTGCCTTCACTGAGTTCCTCTGGCTACGTATCTATTAATAGAACTGCCTCTTGAACAGCAACAGTGTCAACATTCCCAGTTAGCTACGTCTTCTATAACTGTAGTCCCCAACCCCTGGTCCACTGCCCCGCCTCCTCCAACCTGCCATGGAAAAATTGTCTTTCATGAAACTTAGCAACCAGGGCCCCGCAGCAGGAGGTGGTGGGCCAGCAGAAGCTTCACAGGTATTTAGAGCTGCTCCCGTTACTGGCATCACCACCTGAGCTCCACTTCCTCCCCCGCCACTCCATGGAAAAATTGTCTTTCATGAAACCAGTCCCTGGTGCCAAAAAGGTTGGGGACCGCTGTTCTGTAACATTCCATGCAAATCTTGCAAAGTTTTCTGCACAGCACAGTCTCAAACTACTGTGCAAAGAACTGCCTGTAATCCTTGAAATCTGGATACAAATTTCACAGAAACACCCTCATCTGAGCTGGCAGCTTCACCAGATAGCTTCATCAATTCATGCCAACCTTAGAAACGATGACACCAGCCTTTACTGGCAGTAAAATGTTCTTTTTCAGTCTCCTTTTAATCATTTTCTTTTGATGCAGCAATGAAGGTCATCACTTTGGCCTGCACGCTAGTTAAACTGACTGTGGTGTTTTATTATAGTCTTTAATCCAAAGTAGAAGTGAACGCTCCATTTCAACCGTAAGTAGCTTTCTGTTCCTACTACAATTTAAACTAAAAGATGTGGCTCTTGCCTGTAATCCCGGCACTTTGGGAGGTCAAGGTGGGAGGATTACTTGAGCCCGGGTGAGACTCTCTCTAAAAAAATTAACTTAAAGATGTTGAAGCAACTTTTTTACATTCAACAGACTTGTTCAATGTGGTTTGCACTGTAGCTTCACATATGCCTCGGTCGCAACCGAGCTTTGCTTTGCTGTCCCCACTTTCAAATCTTCTGATCACATCCAGTTTCACTTCCAGCCCTCCCTTCAAATTTCTTTGCTGCCCTGTCATCTTTCTTGAGCAATTCCCTCTTTTGATGATCCATTTTTGTAAACTGTCACGTAAGTTTAATCTCTGGGAGATAAGGAGGCAACACAACAATACATTTTGTGCTTTGCTATCTGTGCGTGAAGCGAACGACAAACGGATGATCAGGGACCAGTCACCAACCAACTTAGAAAGAAGTGATGCTACTGGTCACTGATCATGATGCGCATCTTTTATTTACATAATGATCTGTGGACTGAAGTGTTAGCAGCAAAGTTTATGCAACTATTCTCAATTAATACTGTGGTAACCAATACTCATACATATTAGAACCATGCAAAGCAAGAACTACCTGTATCTTAAAAAACAATAAACAAACTCATATTAGTTTGCAAAATGGTCAACTTTTAATTCAATTTAGTTAACTACTAACCAATCATCATCCTGGATCAAATATAAAACGAAGCTTTTCTCAAAGAATGCTACTTTCAAAACAATGAATTGCTCCCTAGAGGTAGAAGAATCTTTGGAGATAAATTAATGGCAGAATTCTTCAAATTAGTATTTGCAGATAGTCCAAAGACATTCTTTTGAGAATTCAGATCTCCTCCCTT